GCTGACCTATCAGCCAACCAATCAGATGCTGCACAGACTTGCACAATGTGGTTATCAGTTGTTAGAGAAGCAGCCCTGCAGTCTCACTTCTTTTGGATCAATTAATGATTTTAAAGTACACGATCGGCTCATGTCACTGGGCTGAGTTTTAATAAAGGGGCAAACTTCATACTTGTTGAAGAATAACAGTGAACCTGCAGCAACAGAGCATTTTGTGAATGGAAGGACCCCACGCACACAGGTTGTGTGTTTTTTCAGCTTTGACTAAGTCACTTTTCAGGGCTTCCGTCTCCTCCTGACTGTCTGCTCTATTTTCCAGTTCTGACATCTTACTGAAATAGAGGATAGGGAGAGGGGGCATGATTAGATGATGATCACCGGCTGTGACAACCAGCATCCCCTAACACCACACCCTGAACCCAACGCTCCACCCCTGCCCTGTAGCTGAATTACAAACCACACATTACCACGTAGTCACAATCTAAGATAAAGAATGATAGTAAAAGAATCAGAGCAGCTGCTGATGACTGTACAACTTAAAATCGGAGATATGATGTTGGAGCTGGGTGTGGCTGAGTGCAGGTGCTTGTATTAGGGATATCCGTGTGTGATTGGGTGATATCATTCACCCAATAACACACGAATGCATACAGGCACCTTTATTCACACATTTTGTCATCTGACCCACCTTCTGAGTTCTTGGCTTTAAATATATTATCTCCCCTAATGGCAATGCAACTTCTGCATGTGTGTTCATTTCACGCTTTGGAGAGGCAAAGCGTGAAATGGACGTGGTGGACTGGAGTGTCTGTTACATGCCTTGTCGTGACATTGCGTTGTCTGTTGAGTGCGCTTAGTGCAACTCAGCGTTCAATATGTTGTCCAGAGATAAGATGCAGACTGCAGGAGCTGAGGATGTAGCCACTGACCTTCCATGCAACCTGCCCTATATCCTGAGCCACAGTCAATATCTCCCTGAAGAAGATTTGATCTTGTTGGGGGGTCAGAAGACAATATATACATCACACAGAATGCACACAAAAGGTGAGTCTCCAGTTTTGTCATAACAATCTGAGTGTTATCTATGCATTTTTAAAAAAGTACCTTACAGCTCAAGCCAAACAGTTTCATATTCAACATCAGATGCAAAAAGTCCTCAAAACAAACAATGATGTGAGATTTTTTGTTCCTGTTCCAAAATTTGTGCCCCTACAGATGGCAAGGAATAGCTGCAACGTGATATCATGAGATTTCTTCTAAATAGGTTGCCACAGATTTTCCACTGTCAAAAGATGGAGTGTCATTTTAAAGCTTGTTGTTAGCACAGCATTGAAAAGGTTTGAGCTGGCACAGATAAAAATGGCAGATGGAACGAAAAGCCTCAAATAGTCACAGAATCAAAGAATGGATGCCCAGCTACCCTCAGCCCTTACAGCCTGATGAAAGGGAATGTAAGGTACAGAGTTAGAAGGAGCTAAGATCCTCATATTGTACGAACAAAATGCAAATTAGTAATAAATAAAAGATTATTATTACTAGAGGTGGCAAAAGTACAGACATTCTTAAGTAGAAGTACAGATACCGGTGTTAGAAAATACTGATAAAAATTGAAGTTCTGAATCAACTGCTTCACTCAAACAGCGAAAACCCCCAACTATTTTCTGTTGCCTACTGTTTGCCTGTATATCTAAACAAGGAAATGAAAACATTCAGGGCTAAAGTGAACTTCAGCAAGTGGGGAACACTAAGATCGGTTGTAGTGGTTCAGTGTGGGAAAAAGAATCACAGGCAGTGTTGGGAAGGTTACTTTTAAAATGTATTCCTTTACAGATTACAGAATACATG